ATGTGGACCAATGACCAATTACGATTATTAATTAACGAACGTAAATCTAGAAATATTGAATACCATAATATTGTTGGCAGTACCAGAGTTGATTTTTGGAATGAAATCGCAAATAAAATCAATGAAGAATTTCGCACTAATTATACTGGTCATCAATGTAAGGACAAGTTTAGAAATCTTGTTAATAGTCATAATGTAAGTATTATTTTTTTTTTGCAATTACGAAATATCTATATATATGTACCAAGATATCTCACTATGATTACATTCCTAACAATTTCCCAATTATACTAGTCATTATGTCGGTATGTGGCTGGAAATAGAACGGGTCGGAGAACCAGAGTTGCTGAAAGATATTTCGATGAATTTCGTTCTCGCTTTTGGGAAAGACCTGGTAATTTCACTTTATATGAATATGTTGAAAGCCATTAGTGGAGTTAACAAGACTAATTTTTTACAAAAAATAGAAACGCAATTCGACCAAATTCATAATGTAAACCGATCATCCAGAAGACGGGAAGAAAGACAACGTAGCCGTACACCACCGCCATCATATGAAGAAGTTTCATCGATGCTTGATCTCCGGGAATTTTCTACTAGCCAAAGGGGACGATCCAGATCACCTCGCAGAGTATCTAATGATAGTAGGAGGAACATTAATATTAATCAGTCTAATCAAGGCTTTGAAATAGATATACAAAACATGGGTTCTCGTATACCAGTTCTCGCTGAAAATATTTCGGACAATAGTAATATTGAGAATAATGTTCAAGAAGATAATGATAGATAAAATTAATAAAAAAATATTATTTAACCCTGATATTCTATCTGCATAATTAATCAGATAACGATATGTTGTATAATAAAAATTATTTTTAGGTTAAAATTTGTACGAACCTGATCATAATAATAATACGTGATTAACCAAATTCGATTAATTACCTTTAACGAATATAATAATTATATAATTTCACTTATCTCATAAAGAATTCCTCTGCAATTGTAACTTTTTTTCTTCGATTTCATATAAAAAAGATGTCTAAGTTTAATGTAAGCAATCAATCAAATAATTATTTATTTTTTCCGTTATTTATTAATACAATAATATAGTATACATCTTATTAGCCACTTCTATTGAGAAGCTGATCGTCTCCAGCCGATGTGAAATTTAAGTGGATGTGTAATAATAACAAGCAGGATCTATTATCTATACTATGGATTTTTGTGACCCATAAAACAGGTTGATATATAAAATTAAAGTAAAAAAAGCTATTAATCATCACGAAATAGCAGTGAATAAAAGTCTAAAGTACCAGCCCTCTAGGGATACCTTAGGTGATTTTATTTTAAAATATATATGAATAAGTTATACATTAATAAATAGATTAAATCGAATAAATGATATGTTATAATAAATTAAGCTATACATTGTTAATTTGTCGCATTTCTTCACGAACCGCCCATAATAACTGATAATGTAATGCTAATTCAGTAGCACACATACCTTCGGGTCTGAAGAAAATTTCTAACCATTTTCTCTGTATAATTCTACATGCTCGAATTTTTCTACCGATTTCTCTTGCACGCTTAACCTTCTTGATAGCATTGGACATCCATAATTCATATCGATGCAATGCATACTCATTATCGAAATTATATGAGTCAGAGACTCTATGCTCTGCATATTCTGAAATAGATTTTTGCTTGATTTTCAAGTACTCATCATAATTTACTCCACAAAAGGAATTTCCAGCACAATGAGAGGCCCAATGTTTTTCCATTCCAATATGATTATAGTTATTTCCCATATTTTTGGTTCGTTTTCCGGTATATACTAATTGATTACAAGAGAAGCAGATAGCAATACCAATTTCAGGCGCATAGCTTTTATAAAACCCATTAATCTCAGACCAGTATGTTATTAATTTTCTGGCTTCAAAGTATCTTTTGTTAGGTAGGAGATTATTCTCTCTGAAATATTGTAAACGAGGCCAAATTCGATTCATCCACTCACTGGGAGTTTCATTATCACGAATTTGTGGCATCTTACAATATTCATCCCATTCAGCATCGGTACAATCAGTTCCACGTCTTTCACTTAAACTAGCCATTGTATATAACCAAATTATAGTATTTTTAGAAGTTTATATCGTATTTAGGGATTTAGACCTATTTGATTTAATAACTTTATACTCTAGAATAACTGGATTCAATTTTAGTCCAGATGCTCGAAGAGCGCCCCATAGGGCCTGGATCCTCGAACCATCTCTTCAAGAGTGTTATATTCGCCATATTTTGTGGGGGTATTTGTGATGAGAATGAGTGAGATATATAGGTATAAATATAGTTTGTATCATTGTTCGTAATTTGAGGGATAAACATATCACAATTCATTTTTGTTCGATATAATGATAGAACCAGGTTTATTTTTCGTGAAGAAAAAAATAATGATTCATATAATTATTTGAGTCTTTGTTCCACGAGATTATTTCTGTGACACCGCTAAATTATTTTCTCACTATATATATGAATTAATTAATAAAGCCTTTTCCTTACTGTAGATAGCTTTTCCGATAAGAAAAAAATACAAATGGGACCCAAAAAGGTTATGAATGAGGAGAGTTTATTGTTCTTTATCAGCAATAATATCAAAATTCATATATTACGGAACTTGAGATCCGAGATCGCCAAAATCTGTCTTATTTTACACTTTGAATGAGAGATCGCCAGACTGGAAGGTTTAATTTCCCCATAAAAGGCGAAATATATTCAATTCTTGGCGCTTGTGATTCTAATAGACCTGCCTTACGAAGAAAGTATCTGGCAAATGGTTGAGGTAACGTAATTACTAATGTAATTTTTTCTTCTATCAGGTTAGATTTAGCGAATGAAACATAAATAAACCTGATTTGTGAGGTAGGTTTCATCACTCTTATCTTTTTTATCGAAAAAAACTGTTTAACATACTTGCAATTTATTTCTGAGGTAATGTATCATTATACAAGTCGGACTTTTACGTTACAAAATTCTACTAATTATGAATTTTATATTTAGAAGTTCAAAAGAGTAGCAATACTAATAATTCTGGTACTTTCAGTGTTAACGATTCTAATACCCCTAATATCAACAATTATAATATCCCAAAGAATAATGATACCTACATCTCCAAGGTTAATAAGCCGTCTAAATCAAAAAAGTATAATCCAAGATCTTCTAATTCCAATCCTCAACATAAGAATAGGAAAAATAGAAATAGTAAGTAAAATTCTGCCTTCTCACATATACGTTAAAGAAATATTAAATCTCTTTATTTATTAATCAGATTATCCAAACTATGATCTTGAATATGATGATGATGATGATGATGATGATATTATACTTCTGAAAAAGATCTCTATTGCAATAATGAGCAATATTGTTTAAGATATCTTAAAATGATTGAATTACTTCGTAAGAATCGTGGGGATACAGAACCTTTAGATTTTAATTAGCGGAGCTAACAAAATTCATTTCATGTAAATTAATAAAGGCTCCAACAGAACCTCTAATGAAATATGGTTTTTATGATCGTAGTATTGTGTAGACATCTGATCTTTAATGTTTTATGCCTTTACTGTTACTGTATCAATATTATTCTGGAAAGTCTTCCAACAATTGAGATAATAAGTTTTTTCACCATAACATTTGCCATCACCTCACTCACCCTTTATCTTATCATTTATATGGTCTTTATTACATACGGGGAATGATTCTGAACAAGCAAAAAATAATGGCCATATTCATTACTGTGCACCAATACCATTTTGATAATATGCCTTCTTTCGCATTTCTTTTGGATCATTGGGCAAAATAGAAATTGGAGATCGGGATTTGTTAGATGTATTTACCTGAGGTATAGTAATAGGTGGTATACTAACGTCGGCTTCTGTAACTGAAGATGATGAGTCAGAAATTCGAAGTTTTGCTTCCTCGCTTACCTCAGTGTTTGACATTTTCATTTTTACTACCCACATGCAAGTCAAAAAAATGCGGGAAATTAAATTTTATTACACATAACGATCATTAGATCAATTTTATTAATATAAAAAAATATACGATAATAATCAGTCAAATCTGTGGTCGACCATAAATTTTTTGGTCGTTGGTCAAATGACCTTTGGTCTGATTGAACCAATACTGGATATTAATTCTACACCTAATAATCCGGCTCTTTATTCAACACTCTAAATTATATTTGGATGTAACGAAAAAGAATTGTCCTTTGCAAACTGAGCAAGAAACGCATACGCTTTTAGTACTGTTGGTGATATCGATCCTAATATAAGAGTTTCCGTGATGTAAAGGTGTTGGTGGTCTCTTCTAACAAACCAGTGATTATCATATGTCGATAGAATGCCGTATTGCAACTGGTTCTCTGACATATAGTAGTATATTTGTTGTACCACATCCTTCGCTCTGGAATTTGTTTCATAAAAATCCGGCAGTGATTGTCCAGAATTTAACTCACTTAGGACGTGTGCTCTTTTTATTTCTATTACCAAGATCAAGGTGTTTTCTAAGTAATAGCATGCGTAATCTGGATTGCCATCACCAAGAACTTTTCGCATCGAGTACTCATAATTTGGCGTGAGTTCATTCAATACCATAAAAATATTTACATTTATAGCTTGACGAACGATCTCTTCATTTGTTACCTTAAACTTTCCAATGAATTGTGGCTCTTTGAACCTTGGTTGTTTATTATCGAAATAATGTTCATTCACCATATTGAAGAAATCTTTCCACAATAAAACCTTTTTCGGTGGTTTTCCACCTACTTGCGTAGTATTTTTCGAGATAGTTCCGTGAGGAGAGTAGGTAACGTGAGGAGGGATGTAAGACAATGCGTCTTCTAATGTAATAAGTTCTGAAAAAATAAAAGTGTATATAATTGCAATATTAACTGCCTTAAGTAATCTGTTAAATAATATGCAAGGTGTATAAAACTCATCTATTTTATGATATTACTTCCTGCTTATTCAACTTATCGACCAATTCCATGATTCGAAACTGGACATTACTTACCTGACTGCTCTGTTATTTTTTTCTTTTTTGAGGTGGAAGAACTATCCATTCCCATGGTTACTATTTTTCGTTTTTCTGATGAATTCGTTATATCTTCTAAAACCTTACTTACTTCTTTAGTATCAGACTATATAGAAAGCAAAAATCAGGTGAGAAATACTTTCTCAGTAAGCGAGACAAGGTAAAATTAGGATTATGATGGTCAGATGTAGAGAATGCCAACAGCTCAGCTTTTTTGTTGCATATAAAGGAAGGTACGTAACCGAATCCTTCTCCAGAATCAGTAGACCTTTATCAAAAAAACTTGTGTTGGCAACCTACTACACTTATCAGGAGTCCTCAGACACTTGTGGCAACTCGTTGGGACGGAACGCAACGTGAAGTACAAGAGCTGGTAAAATAGACACCTGGAAAAATGTACACCTAAGTTGACCACTGCCCATCCTTTTGGGAACGGAACGCAACAAGGGGAGCAAAATTCTATATCAACCTATCACACTTACTTTTTTCTTTTTTATAAGTTCCTTTGCAATTTGATGGATCTCCTCTGTAAAATTTTGGTCATTTTCAATACCTTTCAATGTCTTATATGAATAGTCCTCTTATTCGTACTTTCATAGTACTCAGCAATCATTGCAGAAAAATGTTGTAACGACCATACTTTTGGTGGAAAAAATTCAAAGTACTTCCCGTAAGGGATGAGCGATTTGGTTATGGAAGTAGACATATAATCAAAATAGGTAATTTACCAGATTTGGTTTATCATAACAATAGTAACAATTAGGTGGTCATACAATTATGCATCCAATAATTTTTGTCGGATTGATCAATGAGATTGATAATTGATGTTGCACGACATAAGGATTATACAAAATTTGAATTTCTTCCGTTCAACTATTTCATACCCGTGTTTAAGAAAGATCCTGTAAAATATATTACGGACTTCCTTCTGATTTTCACGAAGAAGTACGGTCAGGGAATTTATTGAAGGTATGTATACACTTTTATACTTGAAAAAGTGGATCGCGGAAGATCAAGATTATGGATTAAACGAGAGAATATTCCTCAAAGACACAAATATCGATACAGATAATTACATTTAATCGAACAAGAAATTCATAGATTTTTTTTAAAAATAGCAAATAGGTATCATGATTTTTTATTGTAATATGATAGTTAATAATGTTTAATGATATTTGATATAGAAAAATAGAAATAAACGCGAGCTTGCATGGGAGGGATGCGAAAACGCATATAATGCACGAATCCAAGGCCATGTAATGTGCATCCCTATACTTTGGGCTCGCGATTATTCAGTACTAGTACTAGTAATTATAAGATTATTATTTTTGTTTCTACCGCTACTACTACTAACGAACTTGTCTTTCTTTTTCCCTTCTTTATCGACCCAAGCTTCTAATGTTGTAACATGCGGTTTTTTTTGGTGGCGATAAAATCCAGATAACGTCGCAGGACCAAGTCTAATTTCTTCAGATAAGACATTATACATTGTAGCGGGGGAACGCCCTTCTCTTTTTCTTCTCTCGTCGAAGAGGTATGTAAATTCAACCCAGGTAGCCTCGGTTCCATCTGAATATTCCGATCTATGGCTTGTAATAGAGGCGCGCCCTGTAACGTTAGACTCGTTAGTATAAATTCTGGAATGAGCGAGTACACTTGCATCGTAAGATAGGTTATCAGGCACGTAAGTGCCACTGCTTTGCAATAAATTTACCTAGACTCTGTGTTTCACTTTTCCATTCTGATTCCGTGCGCATTTTACTGATTTCATTATTGAGTGCTAAAATAGTTTTTTCAATGTTTTTTGTAGCTGGATCTGCGGTTTGTTGCTTATACGAGATGCGCATAAATATCATGATTACATATGGTGCGATAAAAATCAAAAAGAAAAAAACATGAATTATATCGATAGACATTTTTAAATAGATTTTTAATAGATTTTTAAATAGATTTTTGATCGATTTTTTTGATTAGGTGTTACAGTTATGAAATAGAAGTAGAGAAGTTGACTTATCTTGTATTTATATATCTTTCTCCCATCACCACCCGCAGTCTAAAATTAGATCAAAACCTTCTGAGAATAACGATGACGCATTACAGAAGATGTGTAATATTAGCATGAGTTAGATTCGTGCTAAAAGACAATTGTGTTGATCCATATAACAAAATCTCCTATACCGAATTGGATTTTGACGCACTGACAAGCTAGGTAGATTTTATTATTATTATCATTATTATTACTATCAAATAAGTATATATGGTAATTTTCCTTCGCAATGATTGTGACGCACTGACAAGCTAGGTAGATTTTATTATTGTTATCATTATTATTACTATCAAATAAGTATATATGGTAATTTTCCTCCGCAATGATTGTGGAGAATAAAATACAATCACTAAATGAACTCGCGTAATGATTTGTTCAGATAACTTTTTACATATGCTAATTTTATATGGATGATCCAGTATATTATTGCAGATCGGGCCCAGAGGGGACAAGTCTAAGACTTATGGCACTTACGTACTTGACATATATTAATTAAGTATTTTTCTATGGGCGATCTTGACAACATTTCTTGTTTTTTTTTATCAAAGTAAGAAGTTAATACATCTATTATTCGAATAAGCGAAGCTTAGTGTTTTTTGGCACACATTAATAAATTATAATATTATATTATATATATTTGACTGAAAAATCACGTGCGCCGATCACTTTGGCAAGAAAAAATCAAATCGGAATTAATTACTTATTCTCTACTACGAAGCACCATTATCTGTTTGCGTCCACATTCCGAAAATTAATCTGGATTAAATATATTATTTTATTATAACAAATATGATAAGTAATACTAATAATAGATTTGATCAAAGCGAAACACTTGCTCAAGTATATGAAGTGTTTTTATATAAGAAGAAGGATATAATAGCAATTCAAGAAAAACTCAGTATTAATGGCAATGCAAATAATGCAACAACGCATCAAAGCAAAACAAAACATGAGCCCGAAGGCAAAACACTTGTTGATTCATATAAGTTATTATTACATTTGGTGGGGGGGGGGGGTTAATACCAATACAGAAAAATCTTGACATTGATGGCAATCCCATTCTAGCAGTGGAGTGGTATAATAATGGGCAGAGCCCAGAGTCTCTGACTCATCTGGCAAATCAAAGCAATAAAGCTTCCACCGATTTACCACTTTCGAAATTGTATAATTTGCTTTTATATTTAGAAGAGGATATAATGGCAATTCAGGAAGAACTTGGTATTGTCGGTTATACTAACCAAGAAATGGTAGACGAAGCTGATAAAAATGCAAGAGCATATCTCCAAAAGTTTGAGAAATTTCATGGTCCCTTAGAAGATGTTCCAAGTGTGATATTACAAAAATTTAGCAAAATGGGGCTAAAGAAAATGTGGTTTACTGGAGAGGGACTTCCATTATTTCCGAATGTCTCTCCTCAACAATTACATGAAGTTTTCGTTAAAAAATCAGCTAGCACCCATGTCTAGAATAAGTTAGCTAATCTACCTCCAGAAACAAAATTAATATGTGGAGCATAGAGTCTCTGACTCATATTTTTAACCGAGTTTTAATACTTTTGTATAGAATTCTTTTACTGGAGCTCTAAAGGTCTGAATCGGAAGATACTTTGTAATAAATGGTATTAATTCTATAGGAAGAAGATCAAGTAGATTAGACATAGTTTTAACTGGCACTTTACCGATTTCACAAGATTGAATTTCCATTGCCACGCTTTATTATAGCGGAGCTAGTGCCAGACACGGAGTGACATTATTGCGAAGCAATGGACATAGTCCTCATAAGAAATAGGCACATAAATTATGAATATGAAACACATTTAATACCACTGGAAATATCTTTACCATCTCTCTTCCTGGGTTGACGTCAAAAAAAAGCTTAATGCATGGAGTGCACTTTCTCCGAAAGATCATTTTTATACAACAACAATAGATACATCTTATTTATTCATAAAACAGAGAAGATCTAGCACCTTTGGTACTTGCTCCGCTAATGATCACATAATAATACACGACATCAGATTAAAATGCATTTGTGAAGTCTCATATGTTGGGACACTAACTCCACTACAAAGCTCGATAATTAACTTTACTCTTTACTTTACACTTTAGAATGGGGCGTTTCCTTATTGCTGAGCAATGGCTCTTCGAGCTTACCGCTTCGATCCTATGTATATCCTCTGTTGCTGAAGTATCTGAATCAGAAGAAAAGTTCGAATCCGTGGTTGATTAATTTTTTTATTTTATTTGAATATATTCGTATCTTATACAAAACAATGGGAAATACCAAATCCGAACTAGATCTATTGAAACAAGAGAACGCTAGGCTTTTGACTAGAATTGCAGAATTAGAACAGATTGCGAAAGAAAAAAAATAAGCTTGAGCGTAGAATTGTAGAATTAGAACGATCGGCAAAAGAAAATGAAGAACGATTTGCGAAATTGGAACAAAGGCAGTTGCAAGATGACGCACGGAGTGCGGTGTTTCCAACACTTAAATCTTTGGTTAATACCGTTCCTACCGAAATAGTAAATTCCAACGATATTCCTGCATCTGAAATAATAATAACCAGTGACACATCAAATTCTGATGATACCTCTGAACCTAATAATGTCTCGGTATCTGATGTATCCAATAATGTTTCAAATTCTGATGAACCTAATAATGTCTCGGCATCTGATATATCTGATAATACTTTAAATTCTGATGTATGTCTGGAAGAGACGAAGTCTAGAGTCTCCGATATACCTTTAACCCGATGCTTTGCATCTCCTATTCCTGCAGAAACCATATCATTGGAAGAGAAGGAAGAAAATGAATTTCTGAATTTGCAGTATAAGGATCGGATTAGTAAAGAGATAACGGAGAGAATTAGGGAAAAGAAACTCCAAGATCAAGAAAAAATCATAACTTCCCAGGATACTAAATCTTCTTTGAGTGTAAAAGGTGGACAGGGGTTAATCCAAGAATTATTTACTCCAGAGCTGTCTCTACAAGAATCGAATATAATTCAAAACCATGTGATTGAAATTTCCGAGACCGGCGGTCCCGGAAAATCTAACATTGATGAAGCATCGCAACATCTAGCTCAGTTATGTGATAAAGCTTTTGATGCTGAGGATGGTGCAAATAGAGCTAACCAAGAAGAAATCTTATGTTGGGCCATCTATGGAAAGGATTTCAGGGTTCAGTTCAATGATATTATTAAAAATAGCGGAGGTAAAATTGGTGAAAAGAAGGCGAGAAGCTTACTTTATGATTCTATTACAAAACAACTTTCTATTATCCGTAAAAAAAGATCTCAAAAATTGGGTTTATATCTTCCAGAAATATCGCGGGATGCTTTGCGCAAAAAAACTCAGAGAGCTGAGAAAATTTATATATTATTTGAAAAAATAGGCCATGATAAAATCAAATACATCAAATCATATAGTGCGAATTCCATTTCAAAACTTACTAATGATCAAATTCAAGAGATTATAAATTATTCTTGTCAGAACGTCGATACAGATAATGCAAGACATCAAAATTCTGAGACCGCCGGTCCCAGAAAAATCTCATCTGAAACAGACGAAAGTATTACAACCACTTCCTCTGTCCCACTGGTTCATACCTCTAATTCTGAAGATAAAATAAGTGAGAAAGTCAAATCTTTACCCGAGGAAGAGGTAAGTATATCTCAACCTAAGACCTTACCTGAAAAACAAAATAATCCTACCCACCTTATGACTGCTCCCGGCAAGGATAACCATATAAGTTTTCGTAGGAAAGTATTAGATCAATATCCCGATATATTTTATGAATTTAATGATGAAAATATTGATTACTACGGAATTGGTGATGATGCATCATGTCCTTTATGCAAGTTAGACCATGATGGTGAGGAAGGTATAAAAGGAGAATATAAAGATGAAACTTACTATATTAAATGTGAGCAAAACGAAATTCAAATAACTACATAAAATTTGTTTGCGCTTTATAACCCGCCTTTTCACAATAACTGCTCAAAGCCAGAAAAAAAGTCAGATAACATATACTGATAGGAGCAAAGCTCCATTGCAAGGCAATAATAAATACCGATAATATATACTGATAGCATATACATTTTTTTTTTCCGAGAGACAAAGAGGAAAAAAGGAAATTAAATTGCTTTGAAATTATATAAACGACAACATGGATACACAAGCCAAGTCTGATAAGGTACTAGCCCCCGAATATCTGAATTGGTATTCTAAATTAACTGATTTGCCAACCACTATATCCGATAAACTTCGTTCCAAATTATATAAAATATATAAGAAAAAAACTGGGCTTGATCCCTGGATAATGTCTGAAACTCCCGAACCTCCACAAATCGAAAAGACTGATAATTACCTTTCACAGGATTGTGTTATCAAAATTTCTAAGTTTCCAGAAGAAAAAAGCACGATCCATGAAGCAGTACATAAACGTTTTCCTTTCTTGTCCTATACTAATTCAAATGCATGGCACCGGGATGTATTTAAATATACCGATTCAGAAGCTAAATGTCCTGTATGTAAAGAGGTACATACACATCGAGGTATATGGGGCGATTGGAGCTGTCTCGGTAAAGATAACCACTATTTTCTTAATTGCCCTTTTCGTATTGATCAAAAGAAAGTTATAACCGCCATACAGAGTTTGCACGAAAGTGTGTCAAACAAACCTCGAGAAACAGAACCTCGTTCACCAACTCATTCAAACAAAAATCGTCTTTATCAGTATGCCATCAAACATGGAATAGATCCTGAAGAATTTTCAATCATTACAGAGGCTGAAAGAAATAGGTGGGCTATGGGTTGTTTCCGAGAAGACTTGGAAAGAGATATGCGCTTCTACCGTGGTGGAGTAGAAAGAAGAGAAGATCCTAGAAAATATCGCAAATTTTTAACAGATCGGGATAGGCTATTCGGAGAATCGCCTGTGGCCTGCTTTGCAATAGATAAATAGCATGATTCGGATAATTTCAATATGTGTAGGAAATAATTGTTTTTTGGATAATTATATGGGTAGTTTTATTAACGAAATATATGTCGAGTAATGTCCAAATGATAAAAAATGCGGAACTCTTTACTGATTGAGGTTATGTAAATTCACGATTATCCCATTCTAAGATAATGTAGAATTTTTTAGAATATGTAATATAATAATTAGGTACTAAAAGTGTCATTCACTTTATAATATTTTTGATTTCAAGAACTTCTTACCCGCAAGGTCATCAGTGAATGGACAAATTCTTCTACCTTTTCAACCGACTCATCATGAAAAGGGATTTTCGCTTCAATGATAGGCATATAATATTTTATACTCTCTTCTTGTATTAATCCACTAAGTATAAATTTGCTACCTACATTTATTAAAAAATTAATGATTGAACAGAAGGCAAGCGTATTTAGCGATACAATAATCATTACAATTACCTGCAATATTAATACCAAACGCAATATAAACCTTTCGTAATTTTCCCTTTACGATTTCGTTATATCCATGTGAACAGAGCTTCGCAAGCTTATTATGATCATCACGAATTTTCTGGTCAGTAGACACCCACTTACCACTTTCAACATATACAATCTCATTCTGTTTCCGTTTCAAAGATGCTCGTATCATAAGATCTGGTCTATCTCCTCTTGAACTAATTTCCTCTAATACCTTTTGGTTCTTACTAGCAATACTCTGTCGCTCGCCTCTAATTACCTCAACGTCATATTCGATTGGTACTGATACAAAGAGGCTTCGATTAAATGGGCCATAGTTTCGACAAGAGAATTTTCTGACCCATCTGAAACTCGACGAAGAACATTTGATCTTATTTTCAGCAAGAGAAGATCTGTTATATTTTTTCCCACTTGGTCTCTTTCGTAGTCCTGCTCAACCCAACGGCCATGAGTCACTTTTTCGGATGGCATTATCATAAACCTGTAACGCTGTTGGATTTCATTTCTTTTAACAACAAAATTAGTACACAATTTTCTTATTGAAGCTTCTTTGTTTAGCCCCCTTATAGAGGCTCTTTCACCCTAGTCACGTAATATTGAAATTCTTTAATAGTGTATGGATCCCACACAAAAAGTTATTGCGTAATATAAAATACATACCACAAGAAGGCTTTGTTCCTCTCTTTCTAGTGAAAATTGGGAAGATCCAAGATCGATTATATTGTTAACCAATGGATCATTCCACGATAAATCATTGACATTCACAGCACATAATCCCTCATATAAACGTAAATGAGCAGGGGATTTATCTCTCTGACCTTCTAAAATGCCCTTCATACTGCCGATATTGCACGTAGCCTGACTTCTCCAATCCGGTTTTTCACGTTTAGGCCTATATTATTTTAAAGTATTAGTCTGTTTCATCTAATTTATCCTTTAACTTCTACAAATTAACCTACTGGAATAGATCAGTATCCATCATCAATGGATTAAGCTCCTTCCACACAAATCGTATCTAGTGTTAGAGAGAAAAAAATTAGCTTGGTTTGAAAAACAATTAGAATTTATACCAGATCATGTTGATCAGAATTGATATGGCTGGCCATGCGATATCACCACTTATTTTGCTAATCATAATTATTAATAGTGCAATGTTGCAGATTATCGTCGGTAACTCATCGCGTCGAATGCGGAATACCACTTACTCAACACCATTACACTATTAGAATCATTTCCCAAAATATAATATCATCATATCTACATTAAATTACATTTATCTTAAAACAGTAATAAATTAATACCTTCTCTATGTCTAGCAATGTCAAGAGGTGTTGATTGCGACTCTCAAAGTGAAGATGCTATCAAAACTGATAATTAATAACTAATTATATCACTAATCTATTGCAGAGCAATGACTCTTTGAGCCTAGATATTCCCATATAAGTCATAGATATCCTCAATTTCATCATATTCTTGTTTAATCATAGGGACGATTGGCTTAGGTGCTGGAATAATTGGTCTGTCATTCATTACACCATAATGTTCAACTGATGAAGCATGACCTATTTTATGC